ATTGTGAATAGGGCCATCATAAGTTGAGAGCTCTTTTGACATCAGCAAACAACACACAGAAGGTGGCAACTACCCAATTTGTACTAACTGTACTTAGTTGACTCTCCTAAGTCAACTCATGTCCTCCTACCTCTCTTTGGATAACATATTGGCATCTGAAATGTCACAAGTCTAAAATAGAACTTGATTTTTCTACCACCTACCTACCCTTCCCTAAATCACCCCCATTTCAGTGAATGGCTCTACCACTTACTCTATGGAGAAAGCTACACCCTGGAATCAGCCTGAAGTCCTCCTTTGACTCCCTCTCTCCACATCAGCCAGCCAACTAGAATCTACAGATATATTCTGAATTGTATCTTCTCACTACCTTCACGACACACTGTTTCCTCCTTCCTCCACCACCTCTTTTCAAGTGGACAGTGAGCAACCACTGTCTCTACCATGGCCATAACCTACTAATTGGTCTCCCTTTTTCTTGTCTCTTCTTTTCCTTTCAGCTGATTACTGTGGATTTTGTTTGTTGGTGGTAAAAATGCACACGATGAAATGTGTGTGTACATTGTGACACCAGTCTATGCTGTCTCTCATCCCCTTGTTTCACCCTCATGAACTGAAACTATCCCCTAAGCTTCCTTTCTGTGCTTTAGACTTACTGTTTTCTGTTTGATCTCATTCAGGTATTTCTTTAAAAGATTACAATGCTTCAGGTGAACATTCTTCAGTCATTGAGCTAAACTTTTGTTTGGTTTTAAAGATGATGGTTTCTATTGAAGACTGAAAGATTCTTTCAACTCAACCCAGCCTCTCCTCACTAACTAACTGGCCATAACACTAGCTTATTCTTGTTTCAGGCCTGATCATCCCTCTTTCAGTCTAGAATGATCTCCCCCTGTTGTTACTGTGTGTGGCGTCGAGTCAGAACTGGAACTGACTCATAGCTGACCATGGAGTGGGTTTTCAGAGGCAGTTGAATGCACAGGAAGAGGTTGTGCATTATTCTCCCACAGAGCAGCTGGTGGATTTGAACTGAGCCTTTGGGATTACAGTGCAGCCTCTTACCACTAGGCCACCCTTACTTAATTCCCCAAGAGGCCTTTCCACACTACCCTTCTTTTGAGAACTCTCTACCACATGTTCTTTCTCTATCCTGTAGTAATTATCTCTAACTGAAACTTTATTTAAGTTCCGTTTGCTTGACCCTTAACTATCTTCTTAAGAAAAAAAAAACAAAAACAACTCCATGAAGTAAAAAATTTCCATTTTCTTCCTTGTTTAGTCCACAGTTCCTGGAATGGTGCCTGAAACATACTATTTGTCATCAAATTCAACTCATGGACCCTAATATGTGTCAGAGTAAAACTGTGCACCACAGGACTTCCAGTGACTGATTTTAGGGGAGTAGCTCACCAGGCCTCCCTTTGTGGCACCTCTGGGAGGACTCTACCTGCACCCTTTGAATTTGCAGCTGAGCTTTTGTGGTTTGCACAGCCCAGGGACTCCTGGCTGGAGTGTGCTAAATAAATATTTGTTGAATGAATTTGCTTTTTAATTATCAAATTATCAAACCTTTAGAAATTACTCCTTCTTAGACCAATGTCACAAGCTTACTCAGTTCATAAGAAATGAGTTGGGGTTTGTGGCAGTTTTTTTTTTTAAAGATGAAATTTTACCTTTATGTGTGAGCTGTTACAACTATTCTCAGTCTATGGGCTCTTAGAATCTTTATAACCCTGCACAGAATTTATATGTCCTTTCTAGCCAAACTCAAATCCAAGTTTCTATCCAGAGACCATTTTGCATCCCAGAGTATTGCTGTTTTTCGGGATTCTGTATCTCTTCTCTCTCTGAAACCCTCTTACTGACCTATTTGCTCTTCAAGATGCCTCTCAGACATACAGAAAGTACTGTATTTACTTGTCATCATTATTTAGAACAAAGCAAAGGAAAAAGCTTCAGAAGTTCTCTTAGTTTCCCATTGATTTGTTAGCTGACATTTCTTGAGCCTCTCCTCTGTGTTAGGAATCATGGCTGTCCCTGAGGACCCAGAAATGGCTGTTACTGTTGCTGCTCTCCAAGAATTCAGAGTCTAGTGGGACAGAATAACAGACATGTAAAGAAGAAGTGACTATGTTGTGGGGAGTGAGGGTGGCCAGATTCCAAAGGGAAGAAGGACTGACCATGTGAAAGGGACAGGGTGCCAAGGCGTGGCGTGTCTGTCTAGAGAACAGTGAGTATTCTGTATGTCAACATTCTGAGGTACTTGGGAAGGAATAAGATGGGACCATACGTGGCAGAAACCAGAACATTTGAGGAGTTATATGTTATGCTATGAATTTAGAGCTTATCCTAAAGCTAATTAAGATCTGATTAAAAAAAAAAGAAAAATTTTTCATTTTGAGATTTCTGGATTCATGTTCTTGTTTGTGTAGTCTGTTAATGCATCTCCCCCTACTCACCCTGAAACCCCAGTCTCCTGGAACATGGGAAGGGGATGAAGTTTGATGAAATTACTGAGGAATTTGTATCATTTGCTAGGGCTTCATTGGGTCTCCCTGGCCCTGCTGCTCCCTGGATCTTCCTTCTTTTCTGCTCTCTTCCTTCCTCCTCCAGAAGTCACTGATTAGCTCCTCCATAGCATTCACTCTTTAAGTTTTTTCTCCGCAGACAATATTTTATTGTGTTTTAGGTAAAAGTTTGAACAGCAAATTGGATTCCTTATATTAAAAAAAAATTTTATACAGACTGTTCCATGCCATTGGCTACAATTCTGACACTGAGTCAACACTCTCATTTCCATTCTGTTTGTTCTGTGTCCATTGATCTAGCTTCCCTTTCCCTCTCACCTTCTCATCTGTTCTTTGGGATAAACGTTCACCATTTGATCTTGTTTAGTTCATTGTTTAAAGGAGCACATGACTCATGAACAAGATTGGTTCTTTTATAAGCCTGTCTATTACTTGGATGAAAGGTGACCTACAGAAATAGATAGCTTCCATTCCATGGTGAGAAGGTATCTTAGGATGATAGTCTCATGGGTCCCTCTTGTCTGTATTGGTCTAGTAGGTGTAGCGTTTATTAGGGATTTGAGTTTTGCTCACAGTTTTATCCACTCTCTCTGGGGCCTGGTATTGTATCCCTGGTCCAAATGGTTGGTAGTGCAATCTGGGCACCATGTATTTCTTCTGGTCTCAGATTAGAAGAGGATGTAGTTTGTGTGGGGTTTAATCCTACAAACCAGTTTCTTCTTTGAGCCTTTGACTTTCTTCATTCTCTTTGGTGCAAATAGACAAATAGTTGTGTCTCAGGTGACCACTCATATGCTTTTAAGATTCTAGAGTCTCTAGATGTTCATGGAAATGAAAAATAAAGAAATTAAATTTAAAAAAAAACATAAAGATTCTAGAGTCTCCTCACCAAACTAGAATATAGAATATAATCTTTGAGAAGACATTAATGTTAGATATTAATGAAGTTATCCGCCAATACAATGATCTCACAAGTCTTTTGATTCAGGAAACATAAGTTGTCTGAGACGTCTAGGAAGCCTCCATAATTTTGTCAATCCATAGTTCTTAAGTCTTTCTCATATGCAGGGTTAAGCTCCAAGTACATGTTGTTGCTGTTAGGTCTCATCAAGTCAACAGGACTCGTAGAGACCCTATGAACAACAGACCCTGTGAACAACAGCTCTGCACCCTGCCCTATCCTGCTCTATAGTCTTATCTCTGATATGCTGAAGCCCATTGTTACAATCACTGCATCAATACATCTTCTTAAAGGTCTTCCTCTCATTTTCTGACCCTCCAACTTTCTCAGCATGATGTCTTTTTTCCGGGACAAGCCCCTCCTGACAACATGCTCAAAATACTTGCAATTAAGTTTTTCCACATTGTCTCCTGTGTCTAACAAACAATCATAGGGTCATACTCCTTGTTCTTATAAAGCTAACAGTCCATAGAGCCCAAACCAAGATGGGGTGATTATAATTCATAGACTCAAGAACTATATGAGTAGAATAATCCATTATAACAAAGAACTGAAACAATTTCCTAGCCATAGACACATGTTTAACAAATTGTAATATATCCATATACTGTATAAATGTATTTATGTAATCATTAAAAATGATATTGATAATGTCCTTAATGTTGTTGCTACATACCATCAAATTTGACTCATAGCTGACCTTCCAACAGGTCTTCACAGGCAGGAAATCACATGGGAGGTGGTTCCTTAACTTTCTACCTAGGAGCTTTTGGGTTTAAAATGCAATTCCTTATCATTAAGTTACCAGAGCCCCCTAGAGTTATTAATAGTATGTTTATCATACTCACTTTTTTTAAAAAGTAGGGTAAAATTTTATAGAGTTATTTATCTTTAAGAAAAACTGGCATTAAAATCCATAACATATACAAACATATAAATTATGACTGTTTCTCAAGAGAACATTTATTCTACTACTTTATACCTTTTCTGTACCATCACATATTCTCCATTAAGCACACATTTGCTTTTTCAACCTACCAGTGATTGAAAAAGCCCCAAAATGAACAAAATAGGAAATAAAAGTTGTAAGATAAAAAAATCAGAACATTTGTCCCCTTGAAGTGATTTAGGCATGCTCATGCTCAGAGGGCTGGCATGGTAGGATGACATCTTGCCTGTGGGATGTATGACTATGTCTTCTTGCTCATACAAGTGGCTGTCTGAGTACAGGAGCCAAAGTGAGTGACCGAACACCTTGATATGGCAAGTTCGATGGAGAAGAGAGAAGTCAATCTTCCCTCCTGGACAATACTTTCTTGAGTTACCCACTTGCTGGAAGATTCTTTGCAAAGGCTTTTCCAGAGAATGGAGAAAGTAGAAGAACTCTGGTCACAGAGGGAGCAGGTGTTCTTTTTAAAGACACATTCCTCCAAGAATCTTCTTTTGCATTTAACCTTTGACATCTCCATGTCCTGCTAACAACCAATATTTTCTCTTCTCATCTCTTTCAGGAAGTGATCGCAATGGCCTTGATTTCAGCAGACAGGTAAGAACTTGAGTCAGGAGAAAACCTCTATTCCTAAATTTTGAAAGTCACCTATACTCTGTCAAATGTGAGGAATACAAAGAAGATTAAGTAAATTGTAGGGTGCTTATTCAGACTCCTTTCTTAAAAGATCTCCTAAAGAGTTGGAAGGAGTCTTTAAAGGACCCTGAGTCCACTCTTCTCATCCCAATGTTTGAGTCTCTTCTTCCATATCCCAAAAGAGTATTGGCAAACAGAGTGTCTATTTGGACTAATTGCCCTGACAAATGTAGTTCAGAATCTAAGACAATCACTATTTTCTTGTCAAAGCTTAGCCTGAGTTTTCTGCATCTGTGTATGTCAACCAACAGAGGAATTTATGGAGATTGAAAGGGTTAAAAGGCCTACATTTTCTCAGGGAGCTCCCAATATAAAGGAAGGAGATAGGGGACAAATAAAGCAAAAAGAGCTCACAGTGAGTACAGAACAAGGCATGGGAACCATGCAGACATTGGTGTGGTGCTATGGAAGAGAAGGTAGTTGGTGGGATTAGAGTTTGTCAGGGAAGGCTTTGTGTGGGGCAAGGGGTATTGGAAAGAATGGGTGAATGGATGGATGGATGGATGTGTAAAGGTGTAAAGACAGGATGGACTTTACCCTTGAGATTAGAGCTAATTGGAACGTTGGAGAGAAGGCATAAGACAGAATATGACATCTGAAGCAGATGGTGGGAGTGGGAGAATGTATTGGGATGAGAAAATCCAAAAACTGTAGAAGTACAGTAAGCGGTAATGGGAAGCCTCAGAATGGGGCAGAGAATTAGATACAAACTTGGAGAATCTGGAGTCTAGTTCCTTGCTTTTCACTCACTAGCTACATTACCTTACTTGTCAAGTCACTGAATTTTGGGGGAGTTGAGTGTTTTCAGCCAACAAATTCTTATTCCACAAATTAGTAGGGGCACTAACATTATACAAGGTGTGGAAATCAAAGAAAATTATGCCTGGTTCCAGCCCTGGAGGAGTTCACAGTCTGGTAGAGAGAAGAGAAAGAAAGACCCTTAAGCAAATAGTTTTATTAGCATCTTATTCATGCTTTACTGGACATGTGTAAAAAGCGTGGTGTCAACAGAAATGAGAGCAATTTTGCTTCGGAGCTGAGGGCAACTAAACTTCATGGAGGAGATGATGATGTTGAGTCCAGCTCCAACGAGTGAGCAGGAATTTGTCAGGCAGAGAAAAGTAGGGTGGTGGATAGACAATGGGGGAGAAAAATCATCCCAGTGTGGGGTACACTAGATAATCTCTAGACTTCTCCTCTCCAATATTCTGAGTTCAGGTTTAGATGAAAGACTGAGGTGGAGCGTGAAATCAAACACACGTTCTTCTCCTATTTATCTGTGGAATGATTTTAAATCACCAGTAAGATTTCCCAAAAGGCTGCCAACTCTGGGTACACCCTTCACAGTTACAGGGAGGCATGCTCTTGAGTCCTTTGCCACAGCAGCTTACACTGTCATCTCTTGGGTTGTTGGTCCTTAATGTGGCCACACATGATGTCACCCTTCCCAGACCATACAGAATGCTTGTACTGTTTACTATCCATTTTGATAATACAGTAATGTGTTATACATAGAGTTTAAATTGCCTAAATGTCACATCTCTTAGATTTACTAATATGCCAAATTATTTTGTAAAAATGTTCTATATTCTGCAATCCTGAAGGCGTGTAGTTCGAATCCACCAGATGCTTCACTGGAGAAGGAGGGGCAATCACCTCCTGTACCTGTCAGATCTGATTCAACAGTGCACACATGCAAAATAATAATTTTTTTAAAAAGCTCCATATTGAATTATTAGTTAGAACATTATTACTAACTACACAGACACTTTTATTCTCCTCCTTTAATTACATTCTTTAAAGAGTTGTTGATCTGGGTTCACAGGTATTAATTACCGTAATATGGTACTTGAAACACCAGAAAATATGACAAAATCAGAGACAGTGAAAAATACTGGCAGCAAGGAACTGTATGGAACGACGCACAGATGCTTGTAATTCATGCAGAGGAAAACAGATGATTCCATGCGTCAATGTGATTGGATAATTGACTAAAGTCAATTAACATAAAGTTTTAGACCTTTAGCTATAAAGTTTTAGACCTTTGATATATGTAAACTGAGCTTACAAAAACAAGCAAACAGTTTTTATTGTTATGACTAATAGTTGTTATTGTTAGGTGCATGATTCAATGCAATCTGTAAACAAGAGATCTGAACCCTGTCCTGTCCTGTGCCATCCTCATCATCTCACACTTGAGCCCATTGCTACAGTCATTATGTCAATCCATCACACTGAGGGTCTTCCTCTCTTTCACGGACTGTCCACCTTTCCAAGCATGATGTCCCACTCCAGGGAATAAGCCTTCCTAACGTGCTCAAAGAATGTGAGACGAAGCTTCACCATCCTTGCCTCTAAGAAACACTCTGGCCACTCTTTCTCCAAACCATATGTGCTTGTTCTTTTGGCAGTACAGAGATAGTTTCATAAAAACAAGACATTTCTGCTACAACACTGCACAAAAATGTATAGTCAATAGTTTTGGTGCCGCCTCCCTCTGACAGTATCACTGTATGCGGTCTGGAATTTCAGTCAATGCGTCAACTTTGCTTATCAGAGAGACTGGGAAGTTAGCTAGATCTGTAAAGGCCAGCTATTCTTCCCCCATCCCCTAAATAAAGACAGGCCCTCTGCTAATGGGAGAACTAGGTTAGACATGAGAAGGGACTGCCACTCAATGTGGTTCATTAATCACTTGGACCAGCTGCCAAGGCAGGGAGACTACAGCTTCTCACTAGAGGTCTTTGAAAAGGACAGATTCTTGCGTAATGACAGATTGGCTGAAATGTAATGGACAGGTGTTGCCTGAAGGACACAGAGTTTAGGAGATCCTGAAGGTTCTCTGACCCTGAAGAAGAGTCCTAAGCAGCATGAGACGTGGCCTATGCCCTATACTTCCTCCCCTGAGAAGTCAGGATCTACAGGTCCGGGGCCAACTCTTACTGCTCCAGGTCCTTGGTCAAGATGTGCAGGGAGGGCCCCAAAATGTGGCCACATCAGCCCATCCAGCAAGTGGTCTCAGCACAGGCTAGGTGTGCTAGCTGCCTGTGTGATCTGTCAGAGCCTGACTCCAGAACCCCTCACAGAGGGGCGGGCAGCCTAAGGACAGGGAGGCCCCCAGCCCTCTGGACACATCTGAGGCCATGGGTTCTTCTAGTTTGAAGAACATCTGTGCTAAGAGTGGGCCTCTCTATGTTTGTTTCCCTTGGATGAGCCACATGGGGTGGGTCATTCTCTCCCTCCCCTGGGAGGGGTTTTTTGATTTCTCATTACTGACAAGAACAGACAAGACTAGTCTTTCTTCTAAAAAGGGGGGAATTTTGGAGGAAGAGCCTCTCAGCCAAGTCGCATTCATTTATACACTTAGCTCACAAGCAGATGCCAGCCCAGCACACACGGAGCACCTTTGCCTAAACCTCCCTCTCTTCCCCTCAGACTCTGTCACCCAAATGCCATCAGGTGATGCTGACTCCCTCACACCCGAACTCACACCTACACCCAGCAGGCCCATGACACCTCCGACCACGACAATGACGCCCAGCAGGTTGCTGCAGGGTCAGTCTCATCTCATGGTGACCCCACATGTATTATGAGCACCACAGGCTTTTTAGCAGCTGAACTCTGGGAAGTAGATAGCCAGGCCTCTCTTTGTGTTACCTCTACAGGGGACTCAAACTTTGAGTTAGCAATCAAGCACCATCACCAGGGACTCCAGTCAGGACCCCGCTTTTCACATCAAGGGAAGTAAATGGACACGCCCAACCACCAAGTCCTATACACAATCGTGCTGGTGCTTTATCCCATGTAATTCTCACAGCACACCACTGAGGTGATTGTCCTCATTCCCACTTTGCAGACGAAGAAACAGGCAACCTCATTGCCCTTTTCAGCAAAACACTTTGAAGGATGAAGCAACTAGTCCCAGGTCATAGGTTGGTTGGGTAGCAGAGCCAGGACTGGAGCCCATGTTTCTTTGGCTCTACAACCTGGTTTCCCATCATGCCTCACTGCATCCTCCTCCTCTTGTGCTTTCATCTCCCGGTTCTTTGTAGATACTCACCAGCCTGAGGGAGAGGCCTGGGAGCCAGAGGCTGAACATGACCTCACTGTGACTAACTGGGAGGAAATTGGGAGGATAGGGAGTAGGAAGGGGAAGCAAGAGTAGCTGTGTAGGAGCAACTTCTGTATCTGATACAGAAAAAGGATTGGCAAGAGTGTCAGATGACAAGTACTGCACTTGATGAAGTTTTGGTTGGAAGGTCCCGAGTCAGTTGGTGTAATTGTAAGTTACCTTCAGGTGCTGGGTAGATTTCAGGAATTACATTAGTGACAGATGTTGGCTCATCAAGAAGTTTCCATGTTGAGCCATATATGTGTATTTGACAAGTAGACAAGTACCTGGAAACATTTGCACTGTATAATCATTTGCTATGCTACTATTAATTATTACTGTGTCGGTAGGCATAGAGAGACCCAGATTTGAGAGTTATTTCTGAGATAAGTTCAGGAGGATTTGGGAAGGTATTGGATGTGGACAGCAAAGGAGAAGAGTCAAACATGATTCTGAGATTTCTGACTCGAGATGCTGAGCATCATTGGGGCCAATGGCAGAGATCAAGACAGAAGGTGGAGCTCCCTTGCCCAGAGGGGAGAGGAGGAGGAAGGACAGATAGCAGGTTATAGTGTGTTTTTGTGAGGCGCCTTTAAGTCAGCTCCAACTCATAGTGACTGTGTGCACAACAGTATGAAACACTGCTAGATCCTATGCCACTCTCACAATTTCTTCTGTGCTTTTAAGACATTAATTATAGCTACTGTGTCATTCCACCTCACTGAAGGTCCTCCTCTTTTTCAATGAATCTCTACTTTACCAACCATGATGTCCTTCTTTGGAGAATGAC